TTCTGCCCTACGTGGGCATTGCATGACATGGTGCACTTATATACATGAGGAAAAATGCTCATACACATAAAATAAAATAAAAAATTAAAAAAAAATACCAATCCAAATGTATACTATTATCTATGAGACATGAAAGCAAAAAACTATATAAGCTAAATTTTTCTTTGTTTAGGGCCCTGTTTAGAGAAATGTTTCAGGGACATTGTATTGGTAAACCAATACAATAAACTGCTTCCTGTTTTAGCCTTTGGCGTCCCATTTTCTATTCTAGGCCTATAACACACATATGCACATACACATGCATGTGGACCCACACACATGTGTGCACCTATACACATGTGAACATGCTCATATACTATAGACACACACACAAACCTAAAGCTTAGTGTGGTAGTGTATATCTGTAATCCCAGCACTTAGGAGGTAGAGGCAGTAAGATCAGGAATTCAAGGTCATTCTTGGCTACATAGTGAGTTGGTGGCCAGCCTGGGCTACACAGACCTTGTCTTGGAAAAAAACAGCTGACTAGTCAAGCAAACAAACAACAAACTAAGGCTGTTTGTGATTGTAGCTCAGTTGGTAGAGTGCTTGCACAAAGCTCTGAGTTTAAAACCCAGCACCATATAAACTGGGCATGTTGGTACATTCTTGTTATCCTAACACTCAAGAGATAGAGGCAGGAGGATCAGGAATTCAAAGTCATCCTTAGATGCATAGTCAGTTTAAGTCCACCTTGGGCTACCTGGGACTGTCTCACAAACAAACAAACAAACAAACAAACAAACAAACAAACCACAAGGCTTGGTGACACACACCTTTGATCCCAGCACCTAGGAGAGGCAGGCAGATCTCTATGAGTTTGAGGCCAGCATGGTCTATATAGCAAATTTCAGGCCTGCTGGGGTTAACAGGAAGATTCTTTTAATTAAAAAAAAAAAAGAAAAAAAAAAAGTTGGCCAGTTATGGCCTTTTGTGTGCATCACACTCTGTTGTATAAGAAAGTTTCACTGGTGAGAGTTGAGGCACGCACTAATTTTATTTTATTTTATTTTATTTTTTTTTGATACAGGGTCTCCCTGTCTTCCCAGCTGGCCTGGAACTCACTACGTGGACCAGGTTGACTTAAATCGCAGAGATCCACATACCTCTGGCCTCCCGAGTGCTGGGATTAAAGGCATGTGCCTTCGCCTGGCCTTATTTTTAGTTTTAAAATTATATCCTTGTGTGTGTGCACGGGCCACAGCACACGTATGGTGATCAGAGACAATCTTCTACCATGGGGGCGGTCCTGGGGGATCGAATTTAGGATATCAGGTTGGCGACAAGTTCCCATTACTCGCTGAGCCATCCATCTCTGCCCAGCATTTCAAAACGCATCACCCAGTCACAGACTGGCACATGAAAATCCACTGCTATCCGCTGTTTTACAGAAGCGAGCAAAAAGGTGAGACTGCTTTGGGTAGCCCCCATGAGTTCGCACGATTGACAATACCATCCTCGCTGAAACTTCTTTTCAGAAGGTTATCAGTGATGGAAAGTGAGGACGTGGGGTAGAAGCACAACACAGACGCCACCGCGTAGAACATGAACTTGAGGTTCCTTTCAGGTAGTCCGAAGGCACTTTATCCCGTCCCGGGTCCTCCACCCCACCTCCCCGCGAGGGACTCTCTCCAGACCCGGAGCGGTTCTCGCTGCAATCCCGCTGTCAGCCGCAGGGAGACGACAGCTGCAGCTCGAGCGAGAAGGCCGTGCCCAATGGCGGAAGCGGAAGAGGCGGGGCCCAGGAAGCACGCTCAGGCCGCACCGCGGAACTGGCAGGCGAGCGCTTTTTGGGCGTGTTAGCCGAGCCGCAGCAGCTCTCCTGGGCTGTGCAGGTCTAGCCTCATGGCGGAGTTAATCCAGGAACGCATAGAAGATAGGATCCCGGAATTGGAGCAGCTCGAGCGCGTCGGACTCTTTAGTCGTGCGGAGATTAAGTGAGTGCCTGGGGAGAGGGGGTCTTGGCGGGCCGCTGGGAGCTGGAAGAGTTATGTTTAAATTTTCCTGGAGAAATGGCTCAGCGGTTAAGAGCACTGCTCTTGCAGAGAACCTGGGTTGGATTCCTAGCACCCACATGGTAGCTCACAACTGTTCATAACTCCAGTTCCTGAGGATCCGACACCCGCACCCGCCTTCTGACCTCCACAGGCATTCCACGACATAGGTACACGTACATGAAGGCAATACACTCATTCACGTAAAATAAACATAATAAATAAAATATTAAAAAAATTTAGTTATAGTTTAAGTCAGCGCTTGGAGTGTACTGCTTTAGAGATTCCAGCACAGTGCTGTGGAAGCCCAGGAAGAGGGGATAGTTCTTCCTAACTAGTTCGGAGGCCTTTTAATTAGTTTCTTAAGCTTCTTTAGAGCCCAGCCCTAAGGGCGTCCGGCATATAGTTGGCCATTAAGTAATTTGTTAAAATCAATTACGTTTAGTAGTTTTAAAATGACTTTCTGTGACAGTTCACTTTACCATCACTCGGGATGCAGCACAGTAACGTGAGTATAAGATCTTCAAATGTTCATGAAACACGAGGTTTAGCAGTTAGGACACCTGGAAAGTGCTCAGTGAGTTACTGTCATTAAATATGATTGTCTTAGCTTGGTGTGGTGGTGCACGCCTTTAATCCCAGCACTCAGGAGGCAGAAGCAGGTGGATCTCTGTGAGTTCAAGTCCAGTTTGGATTTGAGAGTTAACAGGCCCCGCTGGGACTACAGGGAGACCCTGTCTCAAAAAGGAAAAAATATATATATATATATATATATATGTATATAATTTATACAAAAAAAAATATATATGTAGTTGTCTTGCACATTCTGCATTCAATTCCCCTAGTATACGTATGTTCACTTAACTAAGGATGGTCTATCTTCTCCCATAAATCTTTTTATAGTAATGAAGCTTTTTAGACAGACAATTCAGATTTTTAGATTTTTACAAAGTTACATATTGAAAATATAGAAATCAGGGTTTTAGGATAGAGATTTGATTATCATAAAAACCTAAGTGTTGCGAGTGTTGAGGATTAAGGATACAGCTCAGAGAACTGGAGAGTGCTTGCCTAGCCCTGTTCAGGGCCCTGAGTTTAATTCCAGGGAATGTGAAAAACAAGACAGATCCCTAAATGACCTAAATTTGGGGGGAGATCTTTATTAGTGTTACATATAAATAAGATAAAGCATTTGACTTTATTTACTTTGATGGTGGGAATGACAGTGATCCTGGCAATTGAGGTGATTTTCCTGAAGTTTTAAAAATATATCCTGATGTTCTAAACCACACAGAGGTAATTGTGTAAGAGAAATCTTTCTTGGGGAAGATAAATATATTTGGGGAGTAAATGCAGTAAATATGTGTTTTGATATGTCCAGAATAGAAATCTGTTGTTTGAGACAGGGTCTCGCTATGCAGCCATGACTGGCCTGGAACTGTATGTAGACCAGGCTTGTCTGGAATTCCCAGAGATCTGCCTGTCCCTCCTCCCAAGTGCTGAGATTAAAGGCTTGCACCACTAGGCCTGGCTCAGAATAGAAATCTTTTTTTTTTTTTTTTTTTTTTTTGGTCTTTTTGAGATAGGGTCTCTCTGTAACCTCAGTTGACCTGGAACTCACTGTGTAGACCAAGTTGGTCTTGATCTCACAAATATCCACTTGTCTCTGCCTTGGAGTGCTGGGATCAAAGGCGTGTGTTATCATGCCCGACTCAGAAATCTTAAACCCCAATTTGTTTAATTTTGCTCTTTTCAAATGTTGTAGTTTAACTGGCTTTCTCCTCAGGGCTATCATTAAGAAGGCTTCTGATCTAGAATACAAAATACACCGAAGAATCCTTTTCAAAGAGGACTTCATCAATTATGTTCAAGTAAGTGAATAATTTCATTGCTTTGTGTGTGGGTGTTTTTTTATTTTTTTATGTTTTGGAGACCATGTCTTACTGTGTAGTCCTGGCTGTCCTGGAACTTCCTATGTAGACCAGGCTGGCCTCGAGCTTACAGAGATGATTTTGCTGCTTTTTAATCCCTTCACAAAATTTGAACAGACAATGATAAGTTTAACAGTGGTTTTCTTCAGAGTTCCAGACTTCGATGATTAGGCATGTATTTAAATTTTTAAAAAAATTTATTATTTTCATTTATGTGTATGAGTGTATTGCCTGCACGTATGTGAGTGCACCCGTGTCGTGCAATGCTGTGGAGGTCAGAAGAGGGCTTCGGATTCCCCTGGAACTGGAGTTAAGGACGGTTTGTAGCCGCCATGTGGGTGCTGGGAATCGAACCTGGGTCCTCTGCAAGAGCAGTCAGTGCTCTTAACCTCTGAGCCATCTCTCCAGCCCCATAGGCATGTATTTAAATTTAAAAAATTTTATTTTTATTTTGTGTATGAGTGTTTTGTCTACATATATGTAAGTGTACCCATGTCATGCAATGCCCTTGGAGGCCAGAAGAGGGTATCAGATCTCTGGGAAGTGGAGTTAGGGAAGATTGTTAGCTGCTGTGTGGGTGCTGGGAACTAGCAGCTAGTGCTCTTAACTGCTGAGCCCCATCTTCAGCCTGGCATGCTTTTTTTTTTTTTTTTTTTAAAGGATTGGAGATAATTATTGGGAGTTGTATTATGTACTGAGGCTTAGTCCTTGCCAAAGTGAACTTTTCTTCCTATTGGATTAGTAGATCAGAAACAGTGTGTATCAGGATTTTAGCAAGAAATTTGCCTTTTGGGAGTGGGCACGATTGAGGAGTGAGAATTTGATGATAGCAGATGATGTCAAGTCTGTTATCCTAGGAAGGAGGAATACTCAAGATTCTTCTAAATGGGAGAGAGGTTTGTGTGATGATAAGACATATAGATGAATTGTCAAATGGAGGATAGGTACTATGTTGGGTGTCTTGATAAGGCAATATTAATGATTTAAAAAGCTAGATGTAGGGCAGGGTATGGTGGGACAGGTCTTTAATCCCAACACTCAGGGATGCAGAGTCAGGTGGATCTCTGTGAGGCCAGCTTGGTCTACATAAGCAAGTTTGAGGGCAGCCAGGGCTATACAGTAGGACTCTGTCTCAAAAGCAAAACCCAACCCCCCGATGTAGTAGTACAAGCCTGTAATCCTAGCACTCAGTGAGGCTAAGGCAGGAAGAACTTGAGTTGGAGGTTAGCCTGGAGATACTGTAAAATCTTGTCTCAAAAATAATAAGTGGTTGGAGAAATGGCTCAGTAATCAAGACTTTTCTTTCAGAGAATCTGAGTTCAGTTCCTAGCACCCATGTCACATAGCTCAAAACTGTCACTCTAGTTCCACTTTTGGCCTCCCAAGGCATCTCTGCACTTATGTGAGTGTCGTCATACATAGACACACACATAATTAAAAATGATAAAATAAATCTTGAAAAACAACGAAAAGACTTTGCTGGATATGGTGACACACACTTGAAGTCTGCCTTACACTTGAAGTCTGAGGCAGGAGAATTCTGAGTTCAAGGCCTGTCTCTAGAAAATAAATAGGGGGCCAGTGAGATTGCTAAGTGGGTAAAGTGTTGCTAAGTCTGACAACTTGAGTTTGATCCCTGGGTTCCACATAGTGTGAGGAGAGAGCTGACTCCAAAACTTGTCCTCTGACCTACATACACACACACACACACACACACACACACACACACACACACACACACTGGCACATATACCCTCCAAATAATAATTTTAAACAAAATTTAAAAAGTAAATAAATTGGGTCAGTGAAATGGCTCATCTTCAATAAAGTGCTTGCCACATTGCCTAACAATCTGGATTTGATCCTTGGAACCCACATTAAAAGAAAAAAAGGCAACCTGGTAACTCAGAGGCAAACTCTGTGAGTTTGAGGTCAGCTTGGTCTATATAGTGAGTTCCCAGGCCAGCTGGGGCTACAGGGAGACACTGTCTCAAAAAAAAAAAAGTCGTCAAATGCCATGGTGCACATCTGTAATCCCAGTAGTCCTAATGGAAAGATGGGAGGCGGAGACGGGTGTGGGGGGGGAACAGGTAGCTTGGAATCTTAGATTAGCATGATTAGTTTTAGAGAGATAATTATTAGATTAAAAATTATGCCTGAAAAAAAAATTATGCTTGACATGGTGGTGCATGCCTTTTAATCCCAGCACTTGGGAGGCAGAGACACATATTCATGCCCTTGCATGTACATCTCACCCACTTGTATGCAATTGTGTGAACTTACATGAGACACAAGCGGCATTTAACTAATTAATTAAATTTTACTTTTTGTATTAATAAATCAAACCCAGGACCTTGTGTGTGTGTGTGTGTGTGTGTGCGCGCGTGCGCACACACTAGGCCCTACCACTGAAGGCTGCATCTCTAGCTCTTGTATTTTTTTTTTTTTTCCTGTCTTATTGAGACAGGTTCTCTCTGTAGCCCCAGCTGGTCTGGAACTCGCTATGTAGACCAAAGTGGCCTTGAACTCACAGAGATTCGCCTGCTTCTGCCTCCTGAGCCCTGGGATTAAAGGCATGTACCACCACACCCAGCTAGCCCTTGTTTTTTTACTATGAAGTTTTTTTACATTTTTATTTATTTTGCAGGGGAGGGAGTATGCTATGGCATGTATATAGAGGTCAGAGGACAACTTATAGGAGTCAATTCTCTCTACCATTTGGGTTCCAGGGATTGAACTTAGGTTGTTAGGCTTGGTAACAAGCACCTTTACCCACTGAGCCATCTCATTGGCCCTCTAACCCCTTCATTTTTCAAGATGAGGTCTCACTATGTAGCCATGGGTGGCCTGGAGCTTGCTAGGTAAACTAGGTTGGCCTGGAACTCAGAGATCAGCCTGCCTCTGCCTCCGGAGTGTTGGGATTAAAGGAGTGTGCCAGCATGCCTAGCAGGTGTTAGAACTCTTATAAGGCCTGTTCTCCTAGCCCCTTGAACTCAAGATCCTCCTGTCTTAGGCTCTGAATTATAGACATGAGCCATAGTGAGTTCCCAGGCCAAGAATTTTGCTTTTTACTGAGAATTTGAACACATTATTATAAGTTAGAAAGTTTGATTAGTTTTACTATAAATCTTTTTTTTTTTTTTGGTCTTTTTGAGACAGGGTCTCCCTGTCGCCACAGTTGGCCTGGGTTCACTATGGAGACCAGATTGGCCTTGAATTCAGAGATCTGCCTGCCTCTGCCTCCCGAGTATTGGGACTAAAGAAGTGTGCCACCACACCTGGCTGATACTATAGATCTTATGTCATGCTGTTAAGTAGCTTTCTCTGAATCTTAGATGCTTACAAGCTTATTAAGGTTGCTATATATTTTAATAAGTTTTATAAAGATAAGGTGAATTTTCAGTGAATTCTAGATGTTTATTGTAATTCTGCTTGATAGCAAATTGTTCTCTATTTTTACTTCATGTACTTCCTATATTTAAAAGATTACACTTTCTGTGCTTCTATTTCTTTGTATTTTCCCCACAGTATGAAATTAATCTTTTGGAGCTGATCCAGAGAAGAAGAGCAGTAAGTTAATTTTTTTAAAAGTTGGATTTAGTTTGGGAGGCATTGTTGACAAAATATGATGTGCCTACATGGATATTGGTAATTATCTGGTTTCCTTGTCAGTACTGTTAATATCAAATGTGAATACTACTTTGGATGAATGTGATAACTGAAGTTTTGGTTTTTTTGCCCCCCCTCATAGCGCATTAAATACTCATTTAAGAAGGATGAGATTGAGCATTCTCTCGTACAGCGGGTACACGGTATCTTCGGACGTGCTTCAGCAAAGTGGAAAGTAAGTGGTAAGGATGTACTTGAAGAGATGTGAAGGTTAGAGTCTGCATGTCATGAGATGGATAGTCAAATGCCATGTGCTCTCTGCTCATCTCTGGTTCTTGATACTTACTTGAATGATGGCAACATTGATTGAAAATTTTTTTAAAATTTTATTATTATTTTTTTATGTGTATGTGTGTATTGCCTGCATGTAGGTAAGCGCACGTGTGCTGTACAATGCCCGCG